ACTAGGCCTCAATGAATGAGGAAGTCACCCTCCAAAGAAAGAGAATTTCATGCAGAGGAATCGACGTGAAGACAGGCATGGTGATTAAAATGCACAGTATGTTTAGAAAGGGAAGATGTGCTGTGTGGAGAGGCGGGAGGGATGGGAGACGAGATTTAAGCGGTACGTTGATAAAGAATTCCTCAGGGTCTTGGATGTCATGCAATGAAGACCATATTTTACCTCGTAGGGAAGGGAAATCTAACAAAATCCTTTCAATTTTTCCTTTCACTTCGTCATATTCATTCATTACTATGAAAAATAACAAAGGAGTGTTATTATTTTTTTAAATAAGTACAAATCGCTCTAATACTACAAACATCTTCATTTTTGCTTTAGTCTGTTGACAGGCATACCTTCTCACTGCTACTCTGTACTCCATGTACATATACAATTTTGAAGGATTTGAGTTTTATACTTAACATCATATTAGAAACGCTTCCATCCTTCCACAGGCAACCAGGGTTTTTCAGGAATGGGAATAACTCAGCCACACCCTTTCATCAGAAAAGTAATTCTCAGTGTGGCAGGATGAATGAAACACAGGAAAGGAAAGACTTAAAGCAAGTGGCTTCTTTTGGAAGCGGCTATAGCAGTCCAGGCAAGTGATGCTCACGGCCCCAAAACAGAACAAGTGCAAGAGCAGAGGGGGGAAGAACAGTGAGCAGGGTCCACATTTAACAGGTAAAACCACAGCATGTGGCCAAGGGATGAACTGCACAGGAAGAGAGGATGGTGTCCGGCATCAGTGACACGCTGGGCCTGTCTCTCTAAACAAGGAACCGGAAAGGGGGACAGGGTAGTGACAGTGTCGGTTTAGCCTCAAGTCGAAGGCACCTATATGACATCCAACTGAAGCCATGTGGGAGGAAGTTGGAAGCCAACGATCCTAACTCAGAAGAGAAAGAGCAGCACTCATCGCTGGAGCAGTTGATAAAGATGCCATGGTGTGATGGTGCCTTCAGGGAGCGTGTGTTCAGGAACAAACGCTGGTGACTTTCTTTCAGTGTTCGCTCCATCCGTGTGCCCATGTGCCAGTTCAATTCGAATTTATTTTGATGCACATCAAACACCTCCCTTCAAAGCTCTCAAATTGTCACCGAGGAAAGGTACCTTCCAAGGAAATCAACATCTGTTTTGATGATGTCTGTTATAAGCCTGTGCACTGCATTTCCTGACCCGGTGTGGTTTTACTCACAGTTATACCAAACCACAGGGCTCCTCTGAAGGACTGGTGCAATTATTAGCTGTGATAGCATCAGCGAGAAGAGCGCCTTATAGCACATTTCACAGAAGACGCGCTGGGTGCTGCCTTACAAACACAGGCTTAGGTACGTGATCGGTATCTGACTCCTCTAAGCTAGAAAGCACTTAAAGAGCTTTCTAATGATGGTCTTCAGGGAGGGTACAGGACTGGTTCTTTTCTTAGTCACGTCCGCCTCCCAAAAGCAGTGCCCAGGATTTAGGTGACCGTTAGGAAACCCTATAGTTCTCAAGGGTGCCTCGTGGTAAACAGTAGAGGTGACTTAATTTCTAACCAGACAAATGCTCTTTTAGAATGAATTTTTCCCTTTGCCAAGCACGGATGGCTACTTCTAAGGAAATATTCCATGCATGGCTAACAACCTCCAAAACAGCAATGCCAGCATCTGGTATTTTGCTACAATCACGTGCTTTATAATTTCTTTAAATGTGTCTCTCAATACTCCTCTACCTGAAAGCCTTTAACAAAGACTCAAAGACACTTATACCAACAGCTGTACATCTCTCTTCCATAGCTGAGAGCCTGGGCACCCGCCTCCTGCATAACAAAGAGGCCCTCGCCCCCCACCCGGCTGGAGGAAGGGGTGCAGAGGAAAAGTCTAGTCAGGTCTCCATGAAGCACATATTAAAAATCCTCTTTCGCTCTTAACACCGCTTGGGGAACCTTGCTTTTTTCCTCTCCCTTAGCTGAGAACATGAGCCCATTCCTGATCCACGTGGTTACTACTTTCTGCTACCTCTCATGGTCAAAATTCGATGCAGACCCAGAAGGTGCTTTCCTGTCACTGCGCATAAGGGCGCCTTTCAACCCAAACTCAATTCAGGATCGGCACAGCCTCTCTAAGGAAAACTGTGAAGATGCAAGAGTCAAAGAAAAGTTGCAAAAAAAACGTTGAATGCATTTGGTCGTGGTTACTTTAATAGCTAATACATTTCCAGATTACCCCACTTGTTCCTTTATAGGCTGGCTGGGCTTCTGTGAGTTCTTCTGTTTGGTTCCTCACTTGAACTACCTGGCATGTCTACTACCAGGGCTGCAGCCACCAGCAAGGGCATTCGGGAGCAACAACACCCTGCAAATCACTTTTGCATCATCCCAGGCCAGGCTTGCCCTTGCTGGAGCAAGTGGGGGAGGGAAGGAGGGGGCCAAGTGTCACCCCTGCAGTCTGCTAACAGCAGATTTGAATCCTGAATCTGCTGCTGCCACTGTGGGCGCTTTGATGTGTCCCCACTGCAGCTTAAAGTTATCCCTTTCAGCAATGGGACCGCTCTCCGGCCACCAAAACTGACCACCTGCGAGCCCTAACAGCTGAAAGAAATATCACTGAAAATAAACTGTCAAGGGCAGCAGGTGTGGCTTTGGGAGCCAAGGATGGAGCTTCCAGGTTACCACAGCACTGCTCCCATCCTCAGGTCTCTCTCCTGTCCTCTCCCTCCAGACCAGCTCCCTGTCCCTGCGGTTCCTGCTGGATCGGCCTTAGGCAGGGGCTGTGCCATTACTAAGGACAGTCAGGGTCAGTGGGTGAAGAGAAAGAGACTTGGGCCCGGGGAACACAACATGTTTAGACAACATGGGGTTTTTTAAGGATTCAGAGACTATGCTGACTCCACATCCTGAAAGGCGAGGCAACTGAAGAGTGAATGCAACCATCATGGTTTGCTGCTGCTCAGATCAGCACGCAAATATTTCCTGGGCACCTCCGATGTGGTGAGACCTAGGCCCTAGGCTGCGGGTGAGGCGGCAAAGAGGAGGGTGAAGCAGACTCAGACAGCTGTTAGCAAAGCTCAGTGTGCAAGAGAGATGTCTTCGGTGAGTTTCTTGGGCTCAATATCCCCAGCCATTCTGACTCATCAAGTCTGCATCTGCAACTTTAATGCATAGTCCAGGTGATTCAGGTGAGGCGGTCCTGGAGCCAGAGCACTTTGGAGGAACACTCTGACTCCTGCCCTCGAGCAGTCTGCAACTAGACGGAGAGATGGCAACCGCCCAAAAGTAATGCACAGCCATATATTCTTTTATGATGCCGCTCCACATGTTATAGGAGTTCATAAAGAGCGGTAGGTGGGCAGTGGAGTCGTGAGCATTCGGGGAAGGCTTTGCGAATGAGAGCTGGGCTTAGAGGTCAGGCAGAACTTGGATAGGAGGGGACAGCCCCATGCAGTCATCTCAGCCAAACCTCCCGATTCAGGGTACCAAGGTGGCTACACCATTCAGCCTAAATGATGATGAAGACACGGGACAGAAGGCTGCTGTTGAACAAGTAGAGAGGCTTCCTATGCTGATGGCAGGAAGGATAGTGTCACCAGGAGGATCATAAAACTGGCATTTCCAGATAACACTGTTTGCATTTTCATTCTGTAGCATTCATGTGGTTTCCTGCACTTCATAATTTAACATTTGAAGAGGAAAAAAAATGCTGTTATGAAACCCAAATAACGCACCACTCTGAGGCATACAGCCAGCTGCTAACAAGTGACATCTGAGCATCATTTAAAGTGTCACCCGCAGCTCTGCTTCAGAAAAGGAATGTTTAGTAAGAAAGGAAAATAAGTCCTGATCAATGTGAAGCAAGGTTTGGGGCTCTACAGGGTTCAAGAACTAGCAGGTAACCCATAACACGGCGAGGAGAACACAGAAGGAAAAAGTTAGATCCCTGACAGAAAAGAAGGGACAGTAATTCGAAACAAGCCTATCCCATTATTCGAATATTACATTCATATAACACTGTACTACAAGGAATAAATTATTAACCGTAGACAGTGCAAGGCCTGCTTGACCAAGTGGCTGGTTCACAAGATGGGTGCCAACAGGCAGAAGGGACCCTAGGGGCCTGACCCTTTCCTCCACACTGGATGACCTAATAAGCCCTTCTGCAAATGATGACCTGCTAGGGGCACACAGTAAGTTCTGGTGAGCAAAAATCAAAATGTATAATTATTTAATTAATTTCACTAGAGTGGACTGTTGACTTTTTAATTTGCATGAGACTGTGGTGATGATGGAGGTGTGTCCTCGTGTTTTTAGAGGTGACTCATTCCAAGAGGATGAGGAAGTTGTCCGAGGTCACCAAAATAAGTGGGCAGAACTGGGCTTCCATCTGAGGACTCTGTTTCCAAAAAATACAATGAACTAGGCTGACAAAGCTTTCTTGGAAGTCCACGATATTTTGGTGTGTAGTTTGGCATTGTTTATTTATAGTTCGGAGTGTTTAAATTTTACCCCAAACCAAGACTGTCATTCAGGGCCCCGTGTTGAGTTAAAAGGTGCTCAATAAACGTTTGTTGAAACTCCCCATGTCTCTCCCTTTGCCCATCCCAATACTTCACTACAGAGTCACAAACTTGCCATCAAATTGAATCTGTGATCTCTTGTATGATGAATACCTTATGCTCTCAGCTAAAATGAAGTATCTAGAAATGCAGTTTGTTTGTTGTGTGTGTGTTTAGTTGTTCATGTTTTTTTCTTCCTCCCTCTCGTTTTGGTCTTTTTCTAATGACAAATGCATTCTACTCAGATCCTATTATTCTGCACATGGGAGAAACAAACATCCATCACTAGAACAACGTTTTCTCAAACATCTGTTGCTTGGGTTGTAGAGAAATAGCCATGCACTTGAATAAGATGTCCTGGGATGCCAAATAAGTGATGACTGATGAAATCGAAGGCTAATGAATGCCAAGTCCTTCGGACGACTCACCCCAAACCACTTGTGTTTCAAGACCAGTTGTGTAGGCTGAAGTCCACGCTTTCTCTCTTGCTCATGGTCTGTAGCAGCACTAGTTTGGAGGCTTCAAAATAAACTCTTTCATTTTGCTCCAATATGCTGCAATAAGACAAAACAAAACACCAAGTCAGAACGAAAATGCCACTTGAAGCAGTTAGTTGATATTCAGGGGGAAACCCCTGGCTGTTGTCAGATGTATATTTTATAACCTCAAACAAGCATATTAATTACCAAAATGAAGCTATCGCACAACTAATCTACATATGGTACCCTAAAATACTGGATGGGGGGAACAAAGCACCCTTGGGTAGGTACTGCATCTTTAAAATTAAAATATGCACTAGTGGGAATGTGCCTGCAAATTTTCCAATTTACTAACTAAAATAAGTACATAAAGAAGGATCCATCATGTTTAAATAATTAAAGATAGTGAAATAAAATTTATCTAGGGTAGAAAATGGAGAAAGTTTTGTCTCAAATTAAAACCCATCTGATTCTGCCCATTCAACTTGGACCGACTGAACTATTGTGAATATTTATAAATAAAACACTATTGGGGTTGAACAAAACAAATAAAGTATGAGAGAAGGAATTTTCCATTTTGCCCTACAAACCAGTAATTGATGGGTTTTCGTTCTGACTCTTGATAAATCTTCATAAAGACCTTCTCCACCCAAGTTGGAAAGCAACATTTACTTAACACACCGAATATGAAATGAATGGTTAAAATATGCATGCCTCTCTACCCCACTCAGAGCAGCTGGCGAAGCCTACGCGCTGGAACCGTGTGTGACAAGGTCGCCCTGGAAAGCTCTCCTCTGCCTTGTGAGCTTAAAGCGCTCGCTTGTCACAGGGTGTCGTTCTAGCTTCTGACGCTCAGTCAGTTCCGCCCCACTGTTTGTTTTTTGACAATGGCCATTTGAACGCCTGGGAACTGTCTTCAAGAAAATGTCTGCCTCTTTTTTTAGCCTTTTATGAGCCCTTCTTCATCTACTTTGAAAGCCGATCGGAAGGCTGTCACCCAGTTCTCTTAACTAAGTGACTGCTTCCTACTTGTAACTCTAAGCTCTGAGCATCTACAAAGGTCCTGAGGCAACCACCAAAGACCTCACCATCAAATAACCCAGCTGTAAGAGCAGGTCTACTCGAATGTCTCTAGGCTTCTGTGTGAATAACCGATTCCTTGAAAGGCTTCAGTAGCTGCTGCCTTACAAACTGCCCAACATGGTCCAAAAGAACTTGTGGGGAGTTGTATGTATCTGCGGTTAAGTTCACAGGGGCACTTAAAAATTTAGAGGCGAAAGCTGCTCTTGGTTAATGTTTAAACAAGCGCGTCCAGATTAAGACCATTATATTTTCAGTCTCGCTGGAAGGGCAGCAGCCTGAAAATGGCAGTCTTTTTTCTTTTCTTGATGCTATCAAACCTCACCGAAAGTGGGGTTGTAACGATTTTATTCGTTTTTCTGAGCACTCTTCATAAAATGTAACTCAGCTCCCACTCATATGTGTAACAGTAATGTATTGATACGAATCAACATAAGCCAGGAAGTTCAAAACTGTCTCTAGTTTACTGTTTGGGTAAAAACAGAATTTGGGGAGAGGAGGAAGGCTTAAGCAAGCCCACTACAAGTTACTGGCTGGTATCAACCTCGTTTTACTAAAAATTAATCGCTGCATTTCTCTTATATATTGGCAGTTCTATATCTTGCCATTCTAGAATAGGGAGGGTCTTTGTCATCTAGTTCAAAATTCTTCTGCAAATAAAGCTGCTGGCCCAGAGAGGTGGACGGACCCCTTAAAGTCACACAGTAAGTTAATCTGTGCCTTGACTAGACTCTGGGTTTAATCACTCATGCCCATTGACTCTCACTGGACATAATGTTGTTGAACAGAATGGAATGTGGTGTGGGTTCAAAAAGTTTACCAGAAGCACAGTATGTTTCCCATGATATTGAAAACTCTCTGCTCTTCTGTTTTGCTTTTGCCCTAAAGAAAGAAATTCATATTTGGATTATATTCTTGTCACCAAGTGGAGCAAAATCTATCTGGGAGAGGCAGAATGGCTCCATTATTAGCTCAGGGCCCTTCACTGGCTGCCAAAATCAGATGCCCAGAGGCTTATACTATTTGTAGAGGAGAAAGGAAAAAAAAAAGTAAGGACCCATCTAAGTGACAAGATTTTTCATACTTATCCCTGTAGAGGTGAAGGAGTTGGAAGTGATTCATTTGGTGATGCATAGCTGACCCTCAATTACACATAGTCCTACAGAATGAGACCGTTTTTATCAAAAGAAAACCACTGAAAATTCTATACACAACATTTTGAGTAAGAGTTTCAATATACTTCCCGTCTTCAGCAGACTTTTCAGCAGGGCTGCTAATCACTAACAAAACAAACTGGCTTGAGTTGACTCTCCTTTGCCTTCCCACTCCCATTTGCCAGGTGAAGTTATAAATAGAGATGAGACCAAAAGTCCAGAAAGGAGAAAAGAACACCAGGGGGCCTAGAGCATTCACAGATGTGCCTGAGCCCTGAAAGTCAATATATAAACAAGGTTTCACTGCAGAAAGTGCTCTCATCATGTAGTTTATATGAACAAGGGCCCATGTGCACCTTCTCCAAACTCCTTAACCTGCCACAGGGCTCTACAATTCTTCTATCTTTGATATCCGGAATACACCACAATCTATACTCAACTGTCAGAAAAGATGGAAAGGTGACCTCTTGCTGTTTGAAGAGTAAGCTCAGTCTGGCTCTTCAATTTCAGGCTGGGTAATCTCAGTGATTTAACTTTGAGAGAACCTCCAGCGCAGTTTGCAAATGTTCTAATATGTATTCCTACATTCTGAATGTCCTTTATCACATGTAAAGAGTTCTCCCTAAATTTACTCAGCGGTTTTAGCTATTGAAGACGATAGCCACAATGATTTCAGCTTGATTTTTTTAAATGATAAGGGAAATTTTTATAAGCATTTCTGTGATGATTTTCTGAACAGTTACAGGCAGCAGCAGCAAAGTTGCAATAGAAAGTCACTAAGGATTCAAACTGCATTAAGTTTTTAAGGAGGACCTGGGAAGACCAAAACATAACAAGAGCTTTTGAACCATATAAAATATAATGACTATTGTTCTTTTAATTGTTATAACAAATTAAGACTTTCCCATTCTTTGCCTGACAGAAACATAAAAGCACAGAAAGCGAAAGAAATGATCTGCGCACTTTAATCTCGAGACAAATTTAGAATGGCACTGTTGCCAGAAAGGAACTGTTGCTGGTCGTTTAGTCACCCTATCTAGCAGGAGGGGAATGCCCATCACGCAGCAGTCAGGGACACGTTCTTCATCCATTCCCTGGGACACTTTTGCTTTAATTGTTAGGGCTGTGCCCATAACCAATGGAAACCAAAGGACTGGAAAGAAAAAAAAAATCACAGAAAAGTACAACAAAATCTACTGACATTTGTAAATCTTTCTGCCACAAAAAGCGCCTGTGTTTTATAAAGGCATATGATGCATTGCTAAAGGTATTTTTTGCCATTTAAAAATACCAAACAGTAGTAAGAGCTCCACCACTAGGCTGCCAGGACTTAACCTGCAATTTGGGCAATCAGTGTGGGACGGGATCACTTTGTTTTATGACACAGGAGCAGATGCTACTCATTAACACACAGAAATGTCCAAAACAGAGTTTTTAGAACATGAGTTTGGAAACATAAGTAGAAACAGCTTTGAAGACTATAAGCAAAATAGTATAATGTGATGAAATATGAATGGTTTTGTTTTTAAAAAGAGAGTTTAGGTTAGCTGGTGAACTTCTATGAACCAGCCTCTAAATAACGCATGGATTTGAACAAAAATACGTGCTGAACCTTGCTTTTTGTTTTTGAAAAATAGGGAGAGAGTAGCATATGTCATATATTAGCCAGTGTGTTCCACGGGATGCTATGATCCATTGTGGAACATTATGTTTTGCCAAAGATAAAAGGAGAGCTAGAAAGGCTGAAATAAATTTGGGAAACACTTTTGAGGGCCATTGATGTATTAACATGTATTGCAAATCTCTAAGAGGGAGGACAGCATGCATTTTGGCCCAAACTATATTTGACCACAGAACACTTTTCCAAAGAAATAAGCAACCAGTAGACGTGTTGACCAGTATCTCAAACTTTTTCATCCCAAGTCCTCTTTACCCTCCTAAAATGTATTGAGAACCCCAAAGAGCTTTTAATTAGGTAGACTATATTTAACAGTATTTATTGTATTAGAAATTAAAACCGAGAATTTAAAAATATATACTAATTCATGTAGTATAAATAACAATCCATACTACATGTTACATAAAATGGCATATCTTTTTTTATATATATCTTTATTGATTTCAGAGAGAGGAAGGGAGAGGGAGACAGAGATAGAAACATCAATGATGAGAGAGTCATTGATCAGCTGCCTCCTGCACGCCCCTGACTGGGGATCGAGCCCACAACCCGGGCATGTGCCCCGACCAGGAACCGAACCACAATCTCCTGGATCCTTGGTTGATGGTCAACCCCTGAGCCACGCCCAGTCGGGCAAAATGGCATATCTTTATGGAAAAACGACTACATTTTTCGAAACAAAATGTCTTTCATGCCTGACTTAATAGAAAACAGTTAAATTTTCACATGTGTCTCTAAATTCAATTTGCTGTGAATACTGTTGAAGTACAGGGAGAAAATGGGGCTTCATTTTGAGCTAATTGTGGAAGTTCTTTCATGTTACACTGAAACTTGACAAGGGGGTAGTTTCTTAAAGGCTAAGGCAATTTGGAATCTGAAACATATCAATGAATTCTTTGTAATATTTTATATTAAAATTCATTGGTTTATCTTGCACTTTGGACAGATATTTTACCATGCATGATTCTGTCACACCAGGCCTGGTCACCTAGAAAATAATTCTAATTCACTGGGTTATGCAGATCTTCCAAATGAAGACATATTTCATTATACATCATCACACATCACTTAGCCTCTGAGAAACTCCACTATATACTTATGAGAAAATGAGCATAAAATAGGTAAATAACATTTTAGCACTATTGTAACAATAGTTTTGACCT